GATTTAAAACTTGCATTATTATAAAGAAAGCAGCTCAGATTAATCTCAAACCAGTGAATGAAAGTTTGCACCAGAAGCCGAAATTACAGGTTTGAGCTGAAATACATTGTTCGAATAAGATCGCATTGTTATGCCACAGGTCTGAACGATCAAAATAGCAGACCAGAGTATCACTTCTGAACTGTAATGAAAGTTATATATGATTAAGTGGATTATATATGAGAAGTAACACATGCCCGAAAGCTTACTTATCCATGAAATCGAGATGAAGTCCAGTATTATCTCAAGATAGGTGCAATAACTATAACCTGACGTATATATTTAAGAAGAACTTCTGAGAAGTGTTCTTTGATATGCATTTGAGATACTTAGCGGTCGGTTTTCTCTTAGAATGTCCCTAACTCTCTCGACTAAGCTTATGCTTATTCATGCGGAAAGCGATGAATCAAACCAATAGCTTAGTTTCCTAGCTTCGATTAGTTCATCTGTAATTCTGTATGCTTGGAATATGGACTGTTACATCATTCGTCTTGAACTTGGATTCTATAGAACTATATAATTCCCTTCATCCTGTACAAGCTACAATCAGTACGTACCACAGTTTTAGTGAGTGTTCTAGCCTTCCAGCTTAAAGGATAAAAAACCCTTGACGATACATGTAGAATCGTTACACACAAACTGGAATATTATTCAATTCTATACGCAAAAAAAACCCATCTTAATATATGATCTTCAACAGGTCTGGTCACTATGTCACTGAACGATGATATATGCACGTTTTTATCGCTAACAGGAACTCCGACTTTACTGAGGGTCCTCCATGTATCCCTGTTAATGAGTAAACAATATTCGCTAGTCTTGAATTTGTCCCTGATCCAAAAAGACAGGGAGGAAATAACAGAATGATCTGACTCCACATATAATCATCAGTTCTGAAGACACAATTGACAACCTCGTGATTTGGTGTCAGATCTGATCTGATTCAAACTGTAATTGCAGCTTGACCACCACCTTCCACTTTCCACTATGATTCTCGAGTAATTAATCACTTCGAGACTTTTATGAGTTTAGAAATCGTGATTGAGGTTCATGTCACCCACTTTGTACAGTTCACTATTGAAGACTTGTGTACTCTTGTTCGGTTCAGACGCATTTGATCTCAAAACGAAAAGTATTTCACCTAGCCAGGTGTTGTGGAATATAAAGCTCACTCCTGCAAGAGTATAATATGGTATTGGGAGTTACACAAGATCAAAACCTTGATGTGAACATGTATGTCATACACATGGATCCCTGATAATCGGTTGTCTAAATTAGAGTTGAAGCTCCATGTCTACTCGAATCACCTACTCAGTACTGATAGGAAACGAGGATCTGAGAATTTTGAGACCGCAGTGGGCATATGAGCACAAAACATGGCCAATTACCATAACTCATGGATTGCAAACAGTTCTCATCAAATCATACCATCTCAAGATATATCTATCCTAGAGAGGCCAACATTATAAGAGGAAGATGATATCTGTCAATTTAATGATAATGATATTGTTTAGCTCATTGTAAACAAATCAAGATACTCATTTTTTTGTAGAGAATTAATCTTAGGTCAAGCTTTGTAAAAGATGACCTATATCTCACATACTGGAATGTCTGAATTTCCAAAATTTTGTAGCCAATAATATCTGAAGACCTATTGCAGTCACTATTATTTCCAATCTGGATGATGTAGGCTAAAACATGGCAAAAAAAGTTGCACTCTGCGATCAAACTAAACTAGATCAAATATGAAATGTGATTAAAACACAAAGAGATATTTTTTTAGAATACTGTATTCACATTTAAATATATTGTCCTGTCAAATTCTTGCTGCGATAAATAGAAACTTCATATGTATCTAGTATAAATCTGGGATCATAATAATGATATTTTTCAATGACTTGGATATCATTTATAAAAAAGTCTTATTTAGCAAATGATGATATTTTTGTATCAACTTATATCTTTCAAAGTCTCTTTCAAAGAGTTTTGAAAAAAAAGTTTTATAGGTATGAACGTAAGCGTATAATCACTTCCAAAAACGTTGATCAATAACAGTTTTTTTTAGTAGATTTTTGTAACAATATCAAAACTAAACTGCTTCTAACTTAATAAAAAGTCTTAAAAAAAGTTAATAAATATTAATAAATATTAATAAATATTTATTTAATATTTAGAGGTAATCTTTTTTTATGAATCTAAGAGTTAATCTGTTGAAAAATATTGAAACTTAATGAGTTGAAATATTTAAATTAAGAATTTTTTAATATTTTATTTTATTTTATTTTATTCTAAATGGACGTTAAACATATTTGGTTGATCTCTTTCAGATCACTAATACTTCATAATATCGTTGATAAAAATATCTTATTCAAATACTTTGTTCACAAAAATCTTAAGATATTATGCTTCATTGTATTTTAAATAATTTAACTAGATTCAATAAACTATTAAACTCAACTTGTAACATTTAAAACATAAAAAGCAATCGATATTGAAAATATATAAATCAAGGTATTGATATCAATGCGAAATTTTAAAACTGTTAAAAAATCTTTATAAATCTCCTCTTTAAACAAACAAGCAATTGATCTTTCACTTATTGCTGCAGATTTCCATCATATTACCAGAGTTTACGTTACATAAATCTCGAAGGTGACAAAATCAACAATAAATCATTTATTCTATTTACTTATAAACATGTGTTTTGTTTTGAAATTTACGGGTAATGTCTGCAATTCACACTTCTTCAGGGTAATCATGTGTGGCCTAAAAAGTCCGATGTTACGAAAGAGAAAAAATAAGTTCAATCTTTAACCAGATATTTATCCGAGATAAAATCACTTGACATTACTTTTACGCTCATAAGACCTTCATTAACTTATAAATGGAAATAAGATCTATAACATGTAACAAAGTCGAGTGATCGGCACTAACACCGACGCTTGGTATATCCTTGTGAAAAAAACCACGCAGAGAAGATTAGGTTGTAATTCTCAAGGTCTCAAATTGCACTTAAATGCCCAGATGTAGTCTCGTCATTCTCCTGACTGCCAGCTGTTGAAGATCAAAGCCATCTGCAATGATCATGAACTATTTTAACCCTCATCTACCCCATGGATCCATCTTCTGATTGCAAGAAGGATAAGGTCATCCTCTCGTTCACTCCTTGAGTATTTCGCGACCCAAATTCACGAACTAAGTGTTTCAGCTTTTCCTCCTTATCAGAAATGTTTTGAGAAGTTCCGCTGCGGATTTCAATCATTCACTGAGACCTTCTTACCCTTCATATTCGTTATAGACTCGGTGACAGTGTTGATGCAGCTGTCGAGTGCATTTTTCGTCTGATTCCTACAGAGGAGCACGTGCAGCGCAAAATCTGGATTTTCTAGTTGGATTTTTGTAATTCAGCGTTCACGACGCACAAGCGCTGGAATCTTCCACAACAGTACCTCGCAGGTGGAAGCAACAGAGTCCAAGATGATGCGTGCAAGGCCGTACTGTTTTTGTTGCTCGTGCTCCTGGTCTAAGGCACTTTTACGTGCCCGGCATACGGATGAGAAGTTATTGTGCTCAATGGAAGAAAGCCAGGCTGCGAAGTTTGCCCTTCTGTGCCAAATTCCTCGGGGTTCAATAATTGAAGATAGAATGGGCACGGAAGAGCTTACACAGCTTCTGGATATAAGCTATGGAGACGCTTCTATTATCTAAGCATAAACCTCTTGCACAGGGAGGCGATGGTACGTCGGATTTGAAGGTATCAACGAAGCCTTGTTGACCCATGGGCATTGCTGGCTTAGTGTCGAGTGTGAACAGCTCGTCTCTGTCATGCCAGCACGATCTCGAAGGAGATAATGCGGTCAACACTTTGAGAAACTTCTCGTTTCTTCAGCTGCACTGCAACTCCAATGCCTTCGCGTTTTCAAGGCAGCCTCAAAGTGCTTTTGGCGACTGTTTCGCCACTGGCATGCGAACTTTACAGATCGAGATCAGGGCCGGAGGGCACTTCTCCGTCAACCAGCTTCTTGGATTCGGAATCAAGACTATAACGGATTCCGATCGAGTCCACCGTACGAAGCTTCGTAAATAGAATAGTGCTCTCTGAGTGGACGAGCGCGGAATGATGAGTCACAACATCTCCACCTCATTGGACCGAAAGGCATAGAGGATCGCTGTGGCTCCGACATTCTAGAGCATGATTAGCGCACCAGGCGGGCCACTTCTCGAAACATCGCTGACCCCGCAATAGTTCTTTCAACAAGTGTATAGTGAGGGTCCAGGCTCAGCCGCAAGACTCGACGTGATCTCAAGTCTCGAGTAATGCCGCTGGGCACTCTTTTCCCGCACCGCGCACGTTCATAAGGAAGACATTACAGGGATACAGAGTATCGAGGCGTGAATGACTCTCAACTGGAACTGTTTACGCTCACCAAATTTGGACGTCTTAGCCAGAGTACACCGCCACTGTGCCCTCCTGAACTGTCATTAATCAATTCTATCACACAATTCAGCGAGTCGTGGCTCATGTGCCGCAGTTAATATTCACTCGTGTGAATTATCGGGACGTGATTCCTGCCTTTCTGATTTGTTGGCCCATCTTTGCGATAATGAGCAGGCATACCAGCCTCGTCAAGCAACCGTCAACACAAGTGCTTGAGTGAGTGAGTGAGTGCTTACATTCGAAGATGATCCCACAATAATAGATCTTGCAATAAGACGCACGCTGTGTTCTGTGCAAATCTGGCCGTACCTCTCCTCGGAAACTAAGCAGACATTGATTTGGTTCTCATCTTTATCAATCAGGAGCTTTTGTAGACTTTTTGAAAACTGTGATGGTAATCTAAGGACGTACGTATCATTCTACGTACCTTTGTTTAATGTTGTGCCCAGTTTGGGGCTGCAAATGAGAGGGAAATGAATTGTAGGGGAGGTTGAATTTGTGTGGAGGAGTGGAGCACGGATCGGCGGGAGGTGGGATTGGAGATGGGTGTAGATGCGTCTGACCTTGCAGGACACATGTTCGAACAATGTGCCGGAAGATGGGGCACAACAGAAGGAGATCTGGTCGTGCGTCTGACGAGGTTGCTTCATGGGCTGGATCCCCTGCAACCTGGAGCTGAGAAAATATGCCCGGCCATGAGCAGATTCTGCAAAGATCGAGGGAGGGGAATTGTTATATAAATAACGAGGTGATGCAGAGTGAGACCTATCAGCATCTCTTCTCCGGAGTTGCTAGAGTCTTCTTGCCTCCCTCCCTCTCTAAGCCCTCTTGCAAGGATTCAACACGAGCAACTGACTCCCAGCTTCGAATCTTACAATCAGTTGAGTTCTTTCAAGAACATTTGAGCTAAAGTCCAGGTGAACTCTCATTCTTCGAGATTCAGTCGGTGGACGGATCTCTTTCTTCTCTAGCCTGGGAAAAGGTAGTGCGCCCGGAAGCAAGGAGATGGCAACTGTCAGAAGAACGATGCTGGCGATGATAATGGTCGCCGGCCTCATGGCGGGTGCTTCTGCCACATCTTTCACGGTCGGTGATACGACCGGATGGACCATTACTAGCAGCGCCACATTTTATCAGGAGTGGGCTGACGCGCAAAAATTCAACGTCGGCGATGATCTGAGTAAGTAATTCTCCTCCGATCTCAGCTCGGCAAATTTGTAGCTTTCTCGTTCCTCGGTACTCTTGCTGCACATGGTAATCGAGTGACAGCGAAAGCTCATCCCATCACTGGTGACTGCTGAAGCGAATGAAGAGTCTATCACGATTCTGATCATGATTCCTCCCCATGGACGATTGTCTTCCTTTCCGCTCTGACTCTCAATTGACCCAATCTGTGCAGCCTTTCTGTATGCGAGCGGCCACAATGTTTACGAAGTGAGCGCGACGGATTTCGCCGCATGTTCCTCGACCAACACAGTTGCCATGTACACCGTCGCTAACCCCGTCGTCAAGCTCACCAAGGCCGGAGAATACTTCTTCATCTGTGAAGTTGCAGGGCATTGTGATTTGGGCATGAAGATGTCTCTGATTGTTGCAGGCAACGCCACGTCGCCATCCACGACGCCCGCCGCCACGCCACCATCTGCTACTCCCCTGACCACCGCTTCACCACCTGCACCACCGCCATCTGCAGCATCAGGACTTCAATCCTTCGTGGCTGTGATCGCTGGATCTCTTCTCGCTGTCGGAGCTTTGTTGTTGTAGTTTTGAATAAGTGGCAACACTCGTGGTAAATTTCAAGAACTTGGATTAGAAATGTGATAGATCTTTAGTTAGATAGGAAAGTAATAGCTTTTTGAGCAAACACGAAATCTGGGCGAGATCGAGATTGTCCATCTCGTCACTCGTGTCTTCCGAGATGCGGAAGATCTAGGAAGAGCGGCACCGGGTCTATGCGCCGCAGTGGAGATCCGACATCGTCCGGGCTCGACGATTCGTCCTCTGCATCTTCCGGTATTTGATCGGCAACCATCAACTTCACAACGGCGTTTTTGCCTCAACTGCGAGGACCTCCAGTTACGATACTTGAAAAGTAAAAACCAAGGAGAACGCTGCTGTTAACATCACACCATTTTGCTGCTGCTCTTGGGTTCAAAGCGGCGACCGCTTCTTGCAGATCGCACAACTCAGGCTTGACCTCACGCAGATCGGTTCCTTTCAGAAACCACATATGCTATAAGTCCTACCACATCTGGAGGTATTTGAGATCTCCAACATTGTAATGTTCCGGTTATTTCAAGAAGTCTTCGGACACTTGGTCCATGGAAGTAGCTCAATGTTTCCTGATCACAAAACCTGACACATTTTGGCTGTGCGTCTACGAGATGGTTGCGAGAGTCTACTGACGGACACAATTTGTTAGCGAATCGAAGTTCTCGCTGCTTTGTAAATCATCAATTTCTCCTTCCCATATCGACATCTCAAACTCTGAACGATAGTCAGGTTCGAACCCCGTCAAACTGCGCAGGAGGAGTATATGGAAGAACTGTCTCGCATTGCTTGTATCGGCGTATCGGCGTGAGCAACTTCCATTCTCCAAATACTAAGGCTCAAAGATTTACGCAATTGATCTATAATCTCTTTGGGCCGTGATTGAAAGATATGTTTTATCCACCATAAGGACATTCATTCCACTAAGAAAGTCTAATGCCTATTTATGCATAAATGTTGATGATCTTTATTAGTGTTGATATTAGTATTAAGATCTTGACGTCCTGATTACTAAAACATGGAAGAGTATATTTTTCTTACTGCCGATTCAATTCTAACTAACTTTGATGGTTACATATGAAAAACTTTGAAGGAATAGAAATGTAGATAAGAAAAAATGTTAAGTTCACAATTCAGAGTAGATTAAAGTTGCATGAATCCAAAATCGAGATAAATTGTTTAAGGTTTTGGAGTTTAGTTTAGTGTAAAAATACTGGTACGAAATGAAAATAAGATGAATAAAAAAAGCGTCACATTCAAAAGTCAACGTAACCATTTCATGGAAATTAAATATGAAGAAAAAATAGAAGTCAAAATTTGAAACAAACGAAAAAAACTTAAGGGAAGTTCTGGTATAGACAGCAAGAGTATGATGAGAAGTAAAGTGGCAACTTTCAAAAACATAAAGCGGCAAAACAACATGCAATAAACTAATAAAGGCAAACATGGTTGTCGTTAAAAGGAACTTGACTGCGATGAGAAGTCAAGGGGCAAACTTCAAAAGCCGTGAGGTGGCAAAAAACATGTGGAAAGCGTATTAGGGCAAACACGGATGAAATAACGAACTGGTGATGAGGAAACAAATGATAATTTTAAAAAACATGAAGTGCTAAGATGACTGGTATTGGGCTTTAGGATAAAAAAAGTTGTGAATAAAAAAACGAGTCAAAGGCAAGTGACATAGATCATAGATGAGAAAAATAAACTCATAAAGCAGAGCTTTTTGACGGAAAAGTTGCTTTGTTTGCTAGAACCAAGAGAGTTTATGTTATAATTGTCACTGAAGTTTGACAGAAGGATTTCATGAACGGAACATTTTTTGTTGATAAAGTTAAAGAAAAATTGGTAGCAAGGAGAAATTAAAGTTTGATTGAAAGTTAGAAGTGAAATTTACATCCCAAAAGATGTTTTGGATGATTATGGAAGTTTCATGAGAATTTCTAGACAAATTCGTTTTTACTAAAAAAAAAAATTCGCTTTTTGTTTGGCTTAAATTTGAAATCCATTGGTTAAATCTCAAGGTAGATTTGGTTCTAAGATAAATCAAGATTTGACTCTATATTAAAAGTAAAGTTACTTTCATAAAGACGTCTTGCGGTTTTGTGGCAGCGTCATACAGTTTCTGACATATCTGTTTGATTTAAAGAAAACTTACAAGGTGCATTTTGTGTTGAAATTGAATTTAAAGTTGATTTTCTAAATTTTAAGTATTATGTGAGTAAATATAATATTAGAAATATGATTTAAATTTGGATACAACTTCTTTTTTTGAAAAAGAGTTTTAAAATTATGTAAGCCTCACAAAATTTTTAACAATTTTTTCTTAAAAAGAAAAAAAGTTAGAAAGTGAGCTTTACATTAAGATTGAATTGATATACATTTGAATAAAAATTGGCACTAGTATAATGGATCTGATTCAAAACCAATAATGATCTTACATCAAGAAATAAGTTTTGCCCGTTCATGACAATGTCACAAACTTTTAAAAAACAAAAATCCTACAATGTGTGGTTTGATTTTAGTTGGAATGAATTTCATATATTTTGAACAAAATTTGATAGATATGGTATATAATTGCAAAACTAAACTTAGTAATAGATGAAATATTATAAAATTAAATATTCAATAAAAAATGTTGCATTCAATATTTCTTACTTACAAAGTATAGATGTGAACACATATTTGTGTGAAATCATAAAAAGTTTGAATTGAAATTTTAGTTGCATTTCGTACACAAAACATGCATATCTCTTTCTAATATTTATTTATTTTAAAATAAATATGTATATTCAAAATAAAAAAAAAATTGTCTTAAAATAAATTATCAATAGTAATTATGTTAATTATTCATGTGTTTGATGATATCCTTAGGTAAAAAATAAATATATTAGTTAACAAAAACACATCAACAGTTCATAATTTTGTTAGATAAGGAATGAGTTTTTTCATTAATATGTTAAAATAAAGTCACATCTTATTCATCATGTCATTAAATCACTAGGACATGGATAATGAAAATGAAATTTTATCTTCTTAATATCTGTTGATAATGTCTATATAAAATAAAGTAAAATCACTTTAAATATCTTTCATATCTAAAAATTTATGTATCAGATTTGAATAAGCTTTCATTTTAATTTTTAATTTTATGATGATATCAAAATTATCTTGATATTTCTGTTCAGTGTAAATGATTCCCCATGAAATATGAAGAATGAAATGAAATGAGATGTAGAATAAGTCTTGAAAACATATGGAGTTTAATAAACCTTCAATATGCATATAGAGAAGAGTGAGGAAGGAAAAACTTGTGATTTTTCAGACAAAAAGTTGCATGATACTACAATGATTGATCTCCAAGTTTTTTGACATTCACTTTTGATTTATTGATAAATATAGTTTTTAATGTACATTGTAATGTATTGGACTTCAATATTTATGACATGAATGATGAACTGTTATTAATATCTTTGATTTTTATTTACATAAAAATAGACATTTTTTCATATCGAATGTTTGATATATTTGATTTGCAAATCATTATCTCTTCTTAGATTCAACAAATATGTAAAGATGAAGATAATATACCAAAAAAATATACATGAAAAAGTATGGTAAAAATATTTTAGATTCATATCAAAGTTGTAATACGATTAGTTTTACCTTTTCTGATTAATATTTTGAAAGATTGTATAATATTTTTTTTACACTATATGAAGATGAATGAAAGAAATCATGATGGGTATCAAACTTTATATAGATAAAAGTTTCAATGTAATTGCAATCCTTACTCATAGAAAAATTCAAGATCAATAGTAGTAAAAAGACATGCAAAGCAATAATTTATACAAACTTTGCATTAAAGAATAAAAAATTAAAAAAAATCTGAATTAATGAAGATTAAAATTTCAACACAAAAAATGAATTTCAATGAAAGTTAATTTTCATCAATATTAAAAAAATTCACGATACATTACTTCAAGAGATTAAAGATCAAAAAAATATTATATTGTGAATAAAAAAACATGTCAAATAAACATATACAAAAAATTTACAAAAATAAGATTTTTTATGTCTTTGAATCGTGAGGATGAATGTAAATGTGTAACAAATCCATATTTTAGATTTTCTTGCAAGAATATTTATAAGATGTTATCTTATGATTAAAGTTTATAAATGCTATATTTCATGGAAACAAACACTATTGAAACCAAGTTTTGGTTTCACGAAATATTACACAATATGAACTTTTATAAAATGTTTAAACTGTTGATTGTCTTCTAAACACAATAGTAAAATTGTAAATTTGAAAGAATATGAAAACATACATGAATACATTGATTTTTTTGGGATTTTCAAGTTTTTATTATAGATATAGATAAACAAAGTAGTTTTAGATGTGTTCAAACAATATTTCCGAAAGCAAGTACAAAACTATTCAATGTTAAAAAATGAATTCATGGTAAATAAAATAGTTGTGTAATAACCCACCAAAGGCTAAAACTGCAATATAGTGGTAGAAAGGTCGAACCCACAGGGACAGAGGCAACACACAGAGTACAAAGTGTCACATTTAACAGACTATTGAGGAGTTTGAATTCTCAGGCGACTGTCACTCCCAGAAATACTGCAAGCGTTCACTCGGAGGTCGCACAGTGCAGCGTAGTTCACTCAGCACACACACACACACAAACACACCTGAAACTATAGAAACACAACTCAGAGGTCTGTTAGGACCTCTACTTAAGATTTCAGGGGGGAAGTCTCTCGCGAATACACTCAGCGAATCTGCGGGTAGTGACTCCCAACTCCGGCTTTTACAACCCTTCCACTAGTTTCTGCTAGCACAGGGAACCCGGTTTGGACTTCCTACTTCGGATCGAAGTCACTCACACGCGGTGAACAACACTCTCAACTCACGAAACGCGAAGAGAACACAGGTCCAACTGAGAGACTCAACTGAGAAAAGATCCAATAGCACACCATAACAGTCTATTGACGAGTTTGAATTCTTAGGCACTTGTCATTCCCAGAAATACTATAGGGGTTGCCCTGAAGTCACCTGCTGCAGCGTAACCTGAATTACAACCAAGGCTTACTCGAAGTAACAAAACTTCACTTTGGCATTCAGGGGAAAAATCTCGAAGGAGTACAATCAGGAAACAATCACTTGAAAGTGTAAGGGGGAACTGTTCAAGTATCTAACTCGTTACTAGCTCTTAGCTTCGGCAATCACCCGCAGGTGTAGATCCGAACTACTCAAGTCTCTAACCAGTACACTAGCTCTGAACATTCGGCCGAAGGCCTTCAGCTACAAAATGCGGATCGCCAAGTTGTAGCTCCTCTTGCGTGGTGATAGAACTAAGGACACAAACACGCAGAGGAAATGAGTTCCTGATCTGCACTTCCGAAACTGGAAAAATCCAAAGGCAAGACGCCTTGAACTACTTTATACCTTCTAAGATCATAACTAACACTACTCTACCTGCTATGGTGCGAGCCGCAACAGATCCTACACCTGAGGAGTCGGCGGCTACCTTCCCCTCTAACTTTCAACCTAAATCTAACCCCAACCCTTAATCTGAATCCTAAGCCTACTGTACAGAGCCGCCAGCGTCTTTAACAGCTTTAGATC